GACGCGGAAGCGTGGCGGTAGAGGCAGACCGTGTGTAACAAAAATTTTCATAAAATCTTTAAGATACTCTATAGATTATATTAATTTATGCACAAATAAATTAATCTCATTAATTCATTTATTAAGAACTCAGTTAGGAAAAATACCTAGAGGCCACTCGGTTGATAACTTGAGTTCTTTGACCTCGAACAATCCTTGCTCCAAGGCTTTATGTTTAGAAAACCAATGTCTTCCACGTCAATTCTTAGAATCCATGAAGACGTGTGTGTGGGCACACATGAGACAAAACGGGTTACAATAAACACTCAAATTTTCACAAATACCAACGCATGCACGATGTGAAATTTTTAGAGAAAAATTTTTCCTTCCCTTGCTCTAAGAGAATTCGGCCACCCTATTCAAATTAGGGCAAAAATTGTTTCAAAAATTGTCTCAAAATTTGTATCCATAATTTTCTACTATTCTCTTATTTATAGAGTAGAAGTCAAACTTCTAGAAGGAATTCAATCTCTATCTCCAAGATAAAGCTTGTCAATTATCTCCTATTTGAATTTGAAACAAAATTGCTCATTCCCTTATCCTTAGTGTGGCCGGCCAAGATAGGGGATTCTCATCCCTGTGTGGCGCCAATTTCAGATAGGGAAGGAAGAGAAAATCATCATTTATCCTGTAGTCCAATTTTGACCCAAATTCAAATTCCAATTTAAGTCAAACTTAAATTAATTTGAATTCTAAATTGAACAACTTATCAAATAAGTTTAAATGGATAAATCTAGATGTGTTCAAATTCAAATTTAAAAAATCACATTATTTAAATAATAATTAATTCTCAATTAATTATTTTCGAGTATTTAATTTATAGAATTCCTTAATTCTAAAATTTCCCATTTTACCCTCTGTGTCTGGTAGAATTACTAGGACGACGCGAGGACTAATGGACCTATAATCCCGAGCTCCAATAAAATTAATAATCAATTAAACACTTTAATTAATTAATTAATTCCATTAATTCCAATAGTTACTCCACTATAAACTTAGAATTGCACTCTCGAAATTATAGACATAAATTACTTCTAAACTGTGAAGTG